GGCTGCTCCCGGTGCCCCGCGGGTGTCTCGGCTCGGTCCCTGTGAGCCGGTCCCTGCCCGGGGTTTATGGGCACCATTTGGGACCCTTTTACACTTCCCGTATGCAGATGCCGCATCTGCACTTGAATGTCCCTGCCAATTTTTATGGTTTACAATTGCATTTTACCGTCTTAAGGTCCTCGGGTTCTCTACAAAGGGTTTGCTCAGACAAAAGAGGCTTTTTATCAGGCAGCATCCTCGGTTTTCGAGATACGGGCGGTACCAAAAGATAGGCAGTGTGGGAACTGCAGAAATGGGCATTTCTGTAACCGCCCTGATGTGTTGAGTTGTCCCTGGAAGCACTTTATTCCTTCTCACTTAATTAGATGTCCAATTAGATGAAAGACACTTAATACTCTTAGATACTTTAATAGCACTCTAACAATACTTTTAATACTTTAATGTAGCCTTAATACTTTTTGAACTTTCTGATTTAATTTGTGAAGTGTCTGATGCGTTAGTGTCCCTAGGAGTACAACAGTATTAATGCTTTGTCTGCATTTGCTGTTTTTCCCATAGATGTGGGATTTTGGGGGAAATCTCTTTTGATTCATCAGATTAGCTTTAAGAGTTTCTTGCATAGCTGTTTCTTGTGAGAGGTGTACCTGTGGCTGTGGTTAGTCTTTTCAATGGGTGATGTAACAACCTTTTACTACTTTGCCTTCAAAAATGTGAAATACTGGTGCAGTGTTGAGACATTGCTTGACCTTCAGTCTTTCTAAAGCCTCTGGGGGAGGAGCGGGAAAGATTGGGTTGTTAATTCATGGTTTTATAAAATGCCTGCAAATGATAATGGCAAATGAAGACTCTGAATATTTCATTTTCTAAAGAAAGATTCATAGTACTTTTGATACCTTGAGGAACAGCATCTTAACAAAACCGATGACAATTGTATGAGGACAGAGGTATAAAAGTCAGATTGTATTCTTGGTGTTAAAATGTTAATGTTAAAAACATTAATGAACTTAAGCTCTGCACGTGGCTTCTGTGTTAACCCAGAGTAAACTGCTGCAAGTTTATTGACGTCTTCAGTGAGAGAAGCCTCAGGATAACTTTGAAATGCAGGGGTGTAGTTTTATTTCAGCAGTTACAGGCAATTGCAACCTCATTATTTGAGGGGACACTTGACATTCTTAGAATATAAGATGATGGTTTTCCCTTGCCAATTTGAGTACTTCCTCTTCCATGTAAGAAACATATTTTGTCACTGAGGAAATAAATGACAACACATAAAACCAGGGTTTTTTAAAAAGCAATTTCATTAAGGCATTCATTTTTCCTGCAGTAGTAGCAATTATTTCTCAACAGGGTCCCATTTAAGATCAGTTTTGCAATAGCTTCAGTTGGCATCTTTTTCCTCTGTGTTTGAGACATGGTGGCTTTTACATAGTTTTAATTATTTTATGTTTTAGCTAAAACAGGGACACAATAATTTATCTAAAATTGTGGTAACTTTGGACACTTCTGTTGTGTACTGTGGTCTTGGAAGAAAGATTTATCAGGAAAGTACTTGAATTTTGTGTTCCCGTAAAACTATCGGAGTTTCAGATGGGCAGATTACTGATCTGGATAAACTTCATACCAGAGAAGAGAGGAAAGTTGTCAGAGCACAAAGAATGTAAGGTTTTCAAAGAAAAAATCCCTTTGCCTGCATCCCTTCCCTTTTCCACAGCATTCCCAAACTTTACTGGCACACACTGACATTTTTAGTGGTTCTTTATGCTTGGTTGCTTTGCATCTGATGAGATAAGCCTTTGCTTAACAAAGACTATTTCATTGATATAGTTGGGTCTTGGTTTACTTGCTATAAACATTTCTTTGAAGATGTAGGAAGAAAAACAAATGGAGTTGTCGAATGGCAACACTGCTGAAGTCAAATGTCTCTGAATAAACAAGAAGCTACAGTGTTATTTCAGCTCAGTGTCGTCTTGTTGAATGTGATGTCTCTTGCTTTTGTAAATAATAATAGAAAATAATACATAGGATTCTGAACTCAGTTCTGTGATGGGAAATGAAAGACTTTTAATTTAGGAACATCTTAACTCCTTTATTTGATTTGAGGTAAAGATGGAAAAAATACCTCTTGGTATAAAGTTGGAATTTGGTATTGATGTCTTCTGTAGATCATTAATCAGGAAAATGGGTTTATGCATGCCTTTTTGTGCTGAGCCCAGGACTAGTGCTGTATGTTGAGCAGATGCAGTGTGTGATGTGACATTGCAACAACAGGATTTTCTCCCTGCTTTGCTATAAAAGAATATAAAGATACTGTATTATAGAAAATGAGGGAACTTTCCCTTCTGGGAGACTATTTCTTGATTGTTGGGAAGCAATAGCTATCCTTCTGTCCTGCCTCTGGCAAGTCCTTTGTGGTATTTCTTTTTTTGGTGGGGAAAATATGCCAGTGGTTTATTGAATTACTGTTCAACTCCTATGTGGTAGAGCTTTGAACAGATGCGTTTACACCAGCATTCTGTGAGAATGGGAGCACAGTTTATCCTGTTGATAAACTGCCTATTTAAATAAAGCCTTCAGCAGTGTAATCTGGTAATTCTAATTAAGTCATTTACATAGGGAATTGGCCCAGGGTTTCATCAGATGGCTGCTGGGGAGCTGAAATGCATTCTTTCCCTCCAGCTGTATTAAACCAGCCTTTTGATCCTGTCCTTTTTTTAGCCTTTAAGCCAAAGTGGTTATCACTGTGCAGAGTTAATTGAGAAAGGGAAGTTGGGGGACAAGGGGACCCTTCGAGCTTTAGCTTTGGTCTTAATTATTACAGTTCTAATTACATAATTAGAAGGCTTCCAGATTTTGTGTGTTGATAAAAATGATTCTGTACAGGTTTTGCTAGAAAGAGGAAATACTCCACAGAGAGGCTGGCTTCAGTGAAGTTCTTTATTGGTAAATGATTGCCAATAACTTATCTTGAAAGCAGTATATGCCTGGATTATCTGAGTTCTCCCCAGCACTTCGATAAGGAGGTTTCATTTACCCAGGGTGGACCCTATGTACTTCAGTTACATGTCTAACTTCCATTGCCTAATCACCCCAGCTGGAGGCTTGTAGGGGTGGTGAAATTTAAACTTAGAGAAATGTCTGGTCAGTGTGAAAAATTAATTTTTTTAAGCCCTTTTTTCCTTTGTGAAAAAAAAACCCAAACAAAAAACAACCCAGTAAAAATCTAGCACAGCTCTAATGCCAGGCTGACTTCAAACTGCTGGGATGTCCATGTCTGGAAATACCTCCCAGCTGAAACTTCAGGGCAAACCTTCGGTAGTTTTTATGGGAACATAATCTGGGTCTGTGGTGTCCCTCGGGCTAAATCCCCAAATTCTCTTGTTGGATAAAGCCTCCCCAGCTCTGGCTGCAGGAAATGTGGATTGCAGTGGGCTACAGTGAAGGTGTTCATTGTGCTGGGCTCCCTGCTCACAAACGTGCTGGTGCTGCACCCCTGGGCTGTGGATGAGCACGGGGCTCCTGTCAGCGTTAGGGTTTATTCTGATTAGTTGCTGCTGAGAAGGCCGGGGTTTACCTGCGGGAATTGCTGCGGAGCCCTCAGATCCTGAAGCCAAGGGATTAAATGATGGCTGTCGTGGTTGTAGTAAAAATTTGTAAAAGAACTCTGAGTCTCTGAAAGTTCTGCCAAACACCAGCTTGTCCTCCAAAAATCTCTTCATTCAGTCTCACAGCTGTAGCTTTATGTTGTTTGGCAATATTTACAAGGAATTATTCCTAAGTATGTTGTTTCAGATGTCTTGTGAGTGCTTTTGCCAGGAGACTCTCTATCCTCTGCCAGTTTTATCAACAGTGCTAAGGAAATGCCCTTTCTGTGGGTCACAGGCAGGGGTTATTCTTACCTGCAAATGTATCGTACTCGTGGTGGTGTACGAAACTGAAGGGAGCTGAGCAAAGGTGCCAGTGTTTGGTACCAGTTTGCTGCTGGACCAGGCTCAGGGTGTGGCTGCTCGGTGCCTCCTGCTTTGCTGCTGCTTTGTGCAGCTTTTCTTTGCCCAGTTCTGTTTTCCTGCTTACCTGGAACTGCCAGTCGGGTCCATCACCTTAACACTCGAGCTGACCTTTAGTATTTCACTTGAATTTACATAAGGCCTCTGCTCAGTGAACTGTCCCTATCACAGGATGATATCCATAAAAATGACACTTCCTAGTCTTGAAAAAAATCCCCAGGCCCATTGGAGACATGTGAAAAGGACACCCAGCAGGAAGAGAGGCCCATGGCCTGAAATATTCATCAATCATTTTCCTGGCACCAGGAAACCAATCAACTCTTCTAAGGGGGAGAGTGTAATCAATCACACAATGTGGGAAACGGGGATTGCCGGCCCTGCCAGAAATGTTCCTTCATGTGCACAGAAGGAAAGGGCTGTGCTGGTCCTTACTCACCAGTGGTAACTTACACCCTCGGAGCAAGGCACTCGGCTTTTGTGAAAGGCAGTCTGTGCACACCATGGGCTGTGCTGCATCGCCAGCTCCAGCCTGCACTCAGGGTTTTGTTTTCACTAATGCTGAGTTATTTTGTTCTTATATATTTCTTTTATTTACCTCTTTTCTGTAGCTGGTAGGCGAAGGGTTTGTTTCCTATTCTCCATGTTTTGAAGTGGCAGGTCCAGGAGCAGCATGTTTTTATCTAGAGGATCAGAATTTTTAAATTTTGCTCTGTTTTTTCATGAAACAACTTAAGTTTGAAATAGCTTTCATTGCAAACTGGTACTGGGGAAGAAATGCACCTCTAGACCTCTTTTTCTATCTTTGGGTTATTCTAAAAGAAGTATATATAGATTGCCCAATAATAAGTGAACTTATTGTAAGTTCACTAATAAGTGAATTTTAGTTATCAACATCTGTAGGATATTTTATTGTAGGCTAGGGATTATTTGAATTCAAGTAAGAGTTCAGATAAGAATTTGAAATTCAAATAAGAAATACTATAAAATATTCTAGTTAGATGCTACGAATTGGAACAAGAGACCTGTTTACAGCTTTTTTATTTTCAAGCAAAACCTCTGCAATAGTTGCTACATAAGAAATGCCATAATCACGGCAAAATAAATAGCAGTGCCACAGCCTTTGTCATGTCCTTTAGCCCAGTGGACAGTGGATGGTGCTGGGATGATTTTTCCTGAGGAAAGTGAGATGTTTCAGGCGTGGCCATGGTCTGTGGCTGGGTGGGCTGCAGGGGGACCAGCCTCACTCACCACTGCCCAAGCAGAACATGACCATCTGTGGAGCATCAGCGCTGAGCAGCTTCAAAAGGAAGAAAACAAATAGATTTTCTGTAGCAATGTATGTAACAATTATTTTAAAATTGTAAAACTTGTATATGTATGTCTTACAACGTAGATTTTAAAAAAGGCAAAATTGTGCACTGTTTTTTTTCATGGAAATCAGCAAAACATGAACTGCTGTATTATTTAAGTTAGTTTTAAGTTGGTAGTTTAATTAAGGTTCAGATTGTTCTTCAGAGCAACAGTGTATACTAAATTCAATCAAAAATTAATTTCTCATTGAAAAGATTAGGACCATTCTTTTTAAAAACGTAGATATTTTTCTGCATTTAAGGTAATTTTTTAATACAAGTGGAGACAAATATCCACAAATATCCAAATGTCAGGAATGATGTTTCTCTTCTGAACAGCATTTTTCTGTCTATCAGACAGTTTCTGATGTGCTTTTTAAGATGCTTAGATGTGTTACACAATTAAAAGCTACTAAGAGATGTGGCATCCTGCAAAATGAGATTACAGCAATAGGCAGATGTGGCTGGAACGAGCCCCAAAGAGAAAGGGAAGCGTCTCTGGAATTGCAAGCAGCAGGAGCTAATACGGTTTGCAAACATGGAAGACAGTAGGCAGAGAGGTAGGTGGGGAGAAAGAATCGAATTTCCCTTGATTCCTGCTCGTTTGTAATCCCCATCCCTGGGAGGCCAAATGCTTAATGTGAGCCTTTCACTCGGACAAAACCCGGGATGCTGCTGGTGGTGGGCTGAGAGGGAAGTGCTCGGTGGGGCTCTGATCACTGAATTTCACGAGCAAGATGCTGGAATCAATAATGGAAGGAAAACCTGAAGTCTCAGGGACAGGTCGGTTATTGCAACCATCAGCACAAGGCACAGCCACTCCCAGGTGGGAAATGGAGACCTCCCAGAGATGGGAGAGCCACACACATCTCTGTTCCCACACTGACAGGTGTCCAGTCACACGGCTGTTCTCACCTGCTGCACTGGTTGGGGTCTCGAACAAAAACTAGAACAAACTTGCCTCTGGGAAACCTGACTGATTTGCAACATAATTTCTGCCATATTCTATATATCATAACGTCCTGTTATTTATCAGGAGATCAGTATTAACCTGTGTTGATGTTAACTCTTCAAAAAATAGCATCTTTTGTATAATATCAGTCAATTATGGTTTCTTTAATGTAGGTAGTTCCAGTGGACTCTAGATGGGTTTTGCCAAAGTGGTATGCCTTGAGTTAGCCAACACTTTATCAGTGATCAGAAAGTCAATAAAGAATTTTCCCAGCTTTACAGACTGATTATGCAATTGATCTTTCAATATTGGAGTAGGCTGGGCTGCCTGGTAGGCAATATCCTAATAAACCAAAACACCCTCCAGGCAGAGAAGATGCAAAAATCTCATGCCCAGGGACAGAGACAGTGCCTGTGAGCTGGGGTGCTGCATGCTGAGAGGCACTGGGTGTGAAACAGAGACATGATCACCTTCTTTTAGGACAGGCTTTTTTCTTCATCATCATATTTTTTCTAACAAGCGTTGGTGCTTGACTGTGTTTTCCCTTTTGGTAGCCTAAATAAGATGCCAAATATGTATGAATCCCCTTTAGAGGAATGGGCTGGCTGAGAACTGCCCTGAGTGTTGCTGTTACCACGAGCTGGCTCTGAGGGCATTTCCTCCACGCCACCCCATTTTTCAGGAGCAGAGCCTGCTGAACCTCTCAGGGAAGCACCAGCTTTGCAGAAGTGTGCTGTGCTCTGAACCAGAAATCACAGAGGGCTTCTGGAAACCCAGCCCATAAGGTATGTGGTAATGCTGATACCACAGAAACATGCATCTCCTTTCTGCTTTGATTTTTGTGCCTCAGGAGGCACGTCAGGAATCCTGTGACTTTTGATGGCATCAATAAATCAGATACCATGCTGACAGAATTTTACTGGAATGTAAACAGGCATTTAAAATAGAGATGTTTGTAGACAGTGTATTGAGGAATACAGTGCAGATACATGGAAGATTCAGCTCTGTGTAGGTTTCCTTTCAGTTCTGTTGTAAGCAGGAACTGGGATTGTTTTCCATGTAAATGAAAATAAGTAAAAATACTTATCACAAGATGACCTTATTTCCCACTCCTCTCTGCAAACAGCGTGTGTTTTCAGTGCTGAGGTGAGACAAGCTCTACCCAATGTAGGGGAAAGGGGAGGAATGTCTCTGTATAGTAAAATTTAGCTGATAAGGGATAATGAATCACCTTTAACTCGGCTCTGCTGAGTAATAGCTGCTCTGGGGAACTGCCTCGTCTCAGTCCCTCAGTGGGAAGGGTATGGAACAAATCCTCCCAGAAGGCATTTCCAGGCACTTGAAGGACAGGAAGGTAATTGGGAACATTCACTGTGGGTTTACCAATGGGAGAGATCATGCCTGACCAGCCTCATTCCTTCTGTGATGAAATGACTGGATCCATGGATGAGGAGAGTATAATTTTGTCATTAACCTTAGTATTAGGCAAGGCTTCTGATGCAGTCTCCCATGTCATCCTTGCAGGCAGTTTGGGTGAAAACCTGGGCTGTTTTGTTCAAAGGCTGGCAGTCGAGTTCAAGCACTAACTGGTGGCCATCATGCTGTGATTGTCCTTGGGAGTCAGTGGTGGGGCCAATGCTACTGAGCAATTTCATCAACCAGCCGGGTGGTGGGATAGACAAACTCCTCAGATTTGCAGATGACACCAGGTTGATACTCTGGAAGGCACAACTCCTGTTCAGAAGGATGTCAATAACCTGAAGGAAAAGGTTGATTGAAACTGAAGTTAAACAGACACAAACAGCAAGTCCTGCACCTGGATACCCCCATGGGATGGTGCAGGCTGGGGAGCAGCTCAGCAGAGAGCCCGAGCTCCTGGAGAACCTCACCACTGACTCAGGCTGGGCCTGTGACAGCTTATGGCCACGAGGTTGGCAGAAGCACTCAGGGCCTCCTGTGGGACATGGCAGAGTCACCTCTGGGACATCCTGAGCCTGTCCCACACACATCTCCCGCTCGCAGCCCCACAGGCTGAGCTGTGCCACACGATCCCTGTGTGTGACTGATCCTCACAGGAAGGGGGAGCATGCTGGGATCCCCTGTGTCAGCACGTTCTGCTCATTCCCACCTCGGGAACCCCTGCTCAGGTACCCAGTGTTACCTGCCAAGTTCTTCCACACCTGAGGTGACAACATTGGGGAGGGGGTTCCCAACTCATCTGCAAAGTCCAATGCTGCATCACAGGTTCAGGCTAAGTTCATTTCTAGGAGTAGCCCATATACGCCTTCAATTAGCATAAACAGGGACAAGGGCAGGCAAAGGTCAAGAGAAGTTCAAAATAGCATAATCTCTTTTTGCTGGCGTTCCCAAATGTTCCCGATCCTGCAAAGCTCTCGACGCTGGCCTTGCCAGTGTGTTCACCAGACCATTGTAAAAGTCTAAGAACAAGGCCTGGCTTGATACAAGGGAAGTTAGAAATCTGAGGCTTGAGAATAGGTAGCATTGTTGCTTAAAACAGGAGAAATAATTGATTTATGTTATGGTGGCCAATTAGGCTGTAAAGTGAAAAACTCTTAAAGAAACCCTGTGGCTTCAAGGGAACTTTTTGCTCTGATTCCTGCTCATCAAATAGGGGTACCCCAATAAAGGTCATCAGCTCCATGAGCTGAATTATTAATTCCTTTCATGCCACTCAGGGCTTGTAAACAGCATATAATACAGGAAAACAATTGGAACTGTTCACTGAGTGGGCAGAGGGGAGGTCAGGAGGTAAATACTGGCAGCAGCCGCTCTTCATAGCTGAGCAGACTTCTGTCCTTTTTATCTTTCAGAGCAAACCACTTTCCAAAATCTTAGTCTGGTTGTTAGTCTATATCTCCTCTTTCTTAGATGAATTGTTTTTAGGAATTTAATGGATTACTTATAATTATGAAGATAAAAAGGGCTGGAGGGAAGGGTAGGGGCTGTTTGATTTTTTTTAATATTGAGAGAATTTTATAAATCCATCTATTCAAGGCCGGGTGTAGAATAAGCAGTTGTGCTTTTACGTCCTTAGAAGAAAATCTAAGTGTGATTTTGAGATTTGTTATAAATGGCATCTGCCAGTAGTAGCACAGGACCAGAGATGTCGATGTATTGCTGCTCTTGGATGCCACAGCTGTGCAATGTTCCTGCACATGGGATCGCCAGGTCCCTGGCAGCACATGGCAGGACATTGAGGGAATTCTGACCTCAAACCTGAGCAGCTGGGTGGTGAGCATGGTGCCTGCATTGGTAAACATATTACAAATAGTCATTAAAACACATAATTTCAAGCATGAACTGAAATTTCCAAGTATGGCTGGGAAATAGTTACACTTTGTTTTTTGCAGGCTGTAACGTGGCATTACAGTGAACAATCTGTAATATCAGCTCTTAGAGAATTTGCACTGCCTCTCTCTAAACACTTCCCACTCAGAAACATCTCTTCAGAAGGCACATGCATTATTTAGTTGCTCTTTGAATGATACTTGATGAACTATTCCAGATGTTGGCAGGTGTAGCTTACTGCCCTAAGTGACTGTTGCTCTCGCAGCAGCTTCTCAAGTGCCTGCCCTGTGCCATCTGGCCGCGTGCCGGGCAGTGACCTCTGTGTGCCAGAGCAGCAGCTAACCTGGGAGGGACCATCTGCTGACTTGGTCCCTCAGCCTTCCTTAACCACTCTCAAAAGAGTCACAGTAACTTGAACCCACACTTAGTTCTTGCCTTTATTTGAATGTATGTGAAAGCATGTGTAGCTTTCAGTAGGCAAAAGTACAAAACTCTTTCTAGGAACCCAAAATGGCTGTACTACATAAGAATTTTTTTTTTTCTTTAATTTATTTACAAAGCATGTATAGTGTTAGCTTGCTAGTTCCTAAATTAGGGAGACAGCAGTATTAAGGTGGAAAATAGTAAGATGCAAAATAATTTTTCTTCTCTGAGCACATCAGAGACCTGTGCAGTGTAATCCAGAGCCTGTTGGGAGGTCTGCAGTCAGCATGTCACATGCAGCTTTCTGAGCACTGGGGCAGGAGCCAAGCAGGATGATAAATTAATGTGGAGATGTTCTAGGCAGCAAATGCCTTGGTAATTCAGTGAGGAATAGGACAGGAACAAGCCAGGGCATTGCTGAATAAATCTGTAATTGTGTTTGTTGCTGTTCTCAGCTATGGCTGGTGCTTAACATGAGCTAAAGCTGCTGCTTTGAGTAGCTACACCAGGGAGGCTTGGAGTGGTATAAAAGTAAGGCAGGAAGATTTAGTCAGTGTGGTGCAGTGTCTGCTCTCACGTTCTGCAAAAATGGTCTGCTGAAGTGTTTACTTTTGTTTGTGGTTTGCCTAATTAGAGCAGAACTTTGCACTTTCAGTGTAAACAGTGGTCTTCAGGGAACTGCCTGCTGCCTGAGAAATGGGAATTGCAAGAATGTGAAAGGCAGGATTTGGGCTGGCAGCAAAGCCTGGCTGTGGGCTGGAGTTGTGCTTCTGGGGCTGTGTAAACTTGTACTGTGCATTTAGTGGGTCTTAGAGCTAAACAAGAGTTACAGAATATATAATTATGTGGGACCTACCAGCATCAAAATCATGGAGATGGAGACTGAGCTGCTCGACTTGGGTGTTGGTGGTGATGTGCTGAGAGGGGCTGTGGTCTATTGAGAGAGATCAAGCCCAAAGAATGCATCTTGCCTTTACCTAATCTTGGGTTAAAACTGACCCTGTTAGTGCAAAATGGTTTTCTCTTGGTTTGGGTCCTGGAAATGTGGATCCTCTCCAAAATACAGAGGGCAATCTGGCATTTGTTTTTGATCACGTTCTGACTTTGAGGGTTTTCACTGGCAGACATAGACAGGAAGTTCTGTTTCTTCTTTCAGCAGTTAGAAAATAAAGCTTTGGAGTGTCTTGTGCTTAAAGACTCTTGTTTCTGATGCTGCTCCAGATCAAATTCCAGCAGCTTGCCAGCCTTTGGAAGAGGATCTCTCTTCTGATCAGGAATCTTTTGAAGGTTCACTGGACACAGATGGGAGATCATCATGTCCTTTCATTCCACAGTAATGCTCTGCATACAGTTTAAACTTGATGTAATTTAGACTTTGTTTGTGCTGGAAGTTGCTCTGAATTGATATTCTCAAACCATCACAAGTTACAAATTACTGATATTACTGCTGAGAAAAGTAGATCTGCAGATAATGTGTATGATAGAAATACCTTGAGAGAGGGAAGCTGATGCTGTAAAAATGACCTACTTCTCAAAGCAGCTTCCTCAGGCAATAGAAGACATGTGTATTCAATTTCAGTGTAAATGAAAGTTTTCAAAATAAAACCTTCTCAGTAACATGCACATCACATCTTTTCTCATTTTCACTTTCCCATTAGCTACAGATGTGGAGCAGATGAGTTCCTCCTCTCCTGTCCTCCCTATGAACTCCATGGGCAGTAAGTACCCCTTTTCTTGCCATGTGTGACGAGGTAGAATGTCTCATTCTGAAATAATCCAGAGATGTGAATTGATACTCCATGGTAGAGACTTGGAGAAGTTTTACAGCTGATGTTTATTCATGGAGGTGGGGATTCCCATAGCTGAGAGCTGATGAGGTATTTCTCACAAAAGTAGCACAGACCAGGTCTGTACATCATTATTTATGCCAGCAGAATGCAGGTTGTGTAAGATCTGTTGCCACCAGAGATACCTCAGTGAAGGAGATGTCTGCATGAATGATATAAACCCTTGAGGTGATGGAAATTATGTTGATATGGAGTATTTTTCTGTAGTGTTTCACTATTACACTTGACAATCTCTAGCCTGGAATTTCTCATGAAACTGAGGGCAGCTGGTGAAATCCTCCTCAATTTCAGTGAAATGCTGGGCTTGTAACTTTTTGAGACTTTGAAAACCTGAGCTGCTGGAGACCTAAAAAAGTAGGAATTCAGAATTCCTTCTTAACACTCCATCTAGTGGCATTTGCTGTGCGGAGGGACCAGTCTTTGGGAATCCACTAGGTGGCAACAGGCCCTTGTCAGACTGGTGGGACTGGAAAACTGTGTCCTTAACAGGGCTGAGAACCCCTCATTCAGAGCTTTTAACTTTTCATCTCATTGTTTGGGAACTCTGTGGATTTGTCAAATGTGGCAGACTTTTAAAGGACAGCTCATTTCAAAAGTGATGCTCAGATGTTCACAGCTGCTAAAAGCCTCCCAGAGCCAGGACATGGTCCTTCCCACGTGCCTTTGTGCTGGTGGACTTGCACTTGCTTTCACTGGAGAACTGTGGTTCCTGTATGATGGGAATGAAAATCTGGTTCCTCCCTTTATAATGAGAACAGCCCTGTGGAATGCATGCATGGTGGCTCTACGTTGTAAACATGTGCAGTTGATTAATAAAACACATCTTTGTAGGTTTTCATGCAGTTTATCAGTTTTATATGGAAACAGGTAATTTCACATGCATATGTAGAATAATTTGTCATCTAGAGACACGTATAGTTCATGACAATATACTGGTTAATATTCTGTTGAACCTTTGTGGCCTGACATAGCTCATATTTACTGTTGTGCATTGACAGGTATTAAAATGTAACTAAATTTTCCATAGCATTCTCCCAGCAGAATGTATCTACATAAAAAGGGCAGGGCTGTCCAACATGAGGTGACTGACCCTTAAATAACTGTATGTTATTGCCAGTGTGCAATTTGTCTAGCTACAGCTTTCATGTCTGTTATCTTTTGCTAAACTGAAAAATGCTTGTCTGTTCCCTATGAAGCTATTTATATAAACTTTTGATAAACTAAATAAACCGAGCTCCTCGAGTTCTTTTGATGTCTTCCTGTCTCTCAATTACCCGGTCAGTCCTGGTGGCCGCTCTAGTCAGTCATGATGATGAAAAGCCCTCACTGGCCTCTGGTGTGGATGGCTGAGCCCTGGCAATTCCTGCTGGGCAGGTCCCAAACCTCTCCAGCCCCAGCTGTCCCATGGCTGTAGTGGCAGCACAGTGCTGGTGCTCGGTGTCACCCTGATGTGCCCCGGGCCTGGTGGAGCTGTGGGGTGGTGGCTCTGGTAGGCAGCAGACAGTTGCTGACTCAAGCATCTAAAGCTTCCCAAGCATGGATTTAAAAACATTCTGAACATGCCTGCTAACCTGTCTTTCCTTGGTTTTTTCCCTTGCTGTCTCCTTACCAAAATTAAAGCAAAAAAAACCCACACAAAAACCAAAAACCTGGAGGATTTTTTGCAACCAAGTAGGAGCCCAAATTTTAACCTTATTTGTGCATCCAGAGCATTTGAGAGGTGTGGAATGTCTGCTCAAGCCTTTGGCTTGTCATGCATTGGCAAACTGGGGTAATGGCCCCTTTACTGTAATTTTCCCTGTTTGTCTGAAATGTCTTATTCAGAGTAATTGCAGTGAATTATTTTCACATGTCCTTGCAGTAAAGATGAACTCCTCTGTCAGGACTTCTGTATTTTCTACTTTCATACAGGTATACATGAGGAAAACCAGTTGGCTGAAATGTCTGTTTAAAATAACACAAAAGTGCTTTCTTGTACATCATGTAAGATGTCTCTGGAAAAAATCCAAATTGTGCACTCTCACTTCCGAATGAGTCTGCCAAGCATGCTGAAAAATTTGAGATTTCAAAGGCAGAATGTCAAACTGCATCAAAAATGAGTCATTTGTCTTGTTTTCATAATGTTAAAACAATTTGGCAGGCATGCTTTTGGGCTGTTCACTGCTACGCTGCTGTGGTAAATTCCCTGTACCAAACCACCACACTTACCCAGGCTGTCAGTGCAAGTGCTCACTGTGGATGACTGAATAGGGCTCTTTGCTATCAGACTCGGGGAGAGGGGAGACTTTTTCTAAAATTCCATTTTTGCAAAGTTCAGTCCGTTTAGTGTGTAGCTGTTGAACTTGATGGAGCTGTTCCTGTGTAAAAGTGAACATGTTTAAGTCTTTTAACAGAGCAAGCAGATCTATTTTGAATATTCACCAAATTGGAGTTCAGAAGTCCTTGGTGAGTTGCTCTGACTTGAGCTGTACAGTGAGCTGAGGGACACGGTTCCTGTGGGGTAGCAGCACAGCATGTCTGAACAGGCTCCTTCAGCATAATCCTGTGAACAACTGGAGGAGCAAGCAAGGTGTAGGAGAAGTGCTTGGAGCCTTCACTGCCCAGGGAATTGACTGACACCGCTGCAGAAGAGGGAGAGCCACCATCCCTGGTGCGAGTGGTGTGGGGGCACCACAAGAGCCTCCCTCCTTTACTGCATGGCTCTGTCCAGAGACAGGGGCATTTTTGGGAACAGGTGTATCATGCCAGTCATTCAGAAATACTGGGGGAGCAGCTCGAGAGGCTGTTTCTGTGTCTCAGAGCAGTGCCAGTTGTGTCTGTCGTGCAGAGATGTGTCTGCTGCTCCCTGCACAGCCACAGAGCAGGAAGGTCCCTGCCTGCCCCAGGCTGCCAGCTCTAGCTCCTCACCTTGCCAGTATAATTGGAGCTGGCCCTGCCCACCACAGCCCTGAAGAATGTTCTCTGCAGCAGCACCTTAAATCACTATTTTCTGCTTTGCTTCCTCCCATTCTCATCCCTGTCAATCCAAAGCCCCACAGTTCAGTCCCTTTTCATCTCTCACTGGTCACTTTGTAGGACCAGTGCTGTTCCCTAGCTTGGCTCACTCAGGAGGAAGTTTAATTTCCTGTAACCTGGTAAAGCCGTAGGTTTATGCTTTACTGATAGATTTACCAATTGGGTATCACTTTTACTAAAGCTGAACTAGTTCCTTAGCTGTTCTGCTCCTTTAAAAATCCCTGTGTGTTTCTTAATTAGCACTCAGATTTGCTCATGAAGGAGCTGGATGATGTATCCTGAACTTCTCTGGCAGGACAATGGCATAGCCACAGACCTGCCTTACAGAGTTTTGGGAGGCAGAATGTGGATACAGCATTTCTTTGACAGAAGTGTCGCTTTTCTTGCCGGACAGGCCACCCTGGCCATCTGAGTGGGTGGTCCTGGGCTGTCGGAGCGGGCAGTCCTTGGCTGGCTGGTCCGCAGTTTGCATTCATTGATCAGTGAGTTGATAGAAATGAAAACCCACCGACAGCAATGAATGTTGATTGCAGCCATTAGATGCTGAAGATGCCACACCATGGTGATGGTGCTGTCACTCTAGAGCAGCCTAAAACAAAATTCCCTGGCATGTGCTTTGGGTCTTTTCTTATTTTATGGATTCTGCAGATCCTCTATGGACGGGACAAATGCCTGCACCCTTGTGAAGGCACCCGCTGCCAGAGCCTGCAGTCCTGGTCACTCAGCTGGGCTGGAGAAGGTTCCACACAGGTACCACTGGTGCCTGAGCCCTTGGCTTTCTGTGCCTTTGAAGGGGGGGCTGCTTCCTTGCTTGCCTGGCTGCAGGGTGACAGCCTGAGCCATGGGAGCAGCTGGACCTGGCCGGGAGGGAGCCGCTCCTTGCCCGGCCTTCCCCATGAGCAGCTGCTGAAATTGAGTGCAGGTTCCTGGGAGCAAATGAACTGACATTCCAAGGCTTTTTCCAGCAAAGCTCAAGTTGCCAGCCGTAATGGAAAGGTTTCCTTCCTGATCTGGCCTGTATTCTGCTCTTTTGAACATATACCATGCTCAGATTTGTTTCCAAGTGTCCCATATGGTGTGGATACGTTCCTGCTTTTGTGCTGCCCATACAAAACCTTCCATTGATCTCTTATGCTCTGTTCTGCAGAAATTCTGTGCTAGTATAAAGCTTTAATTCTTTTTTTTTTTCAAGAGAAAACAAGCATTTCTTATATACCAATTCACTTTTAGAGAAAGTAGAACTAGAGAACTGGAAAAACTCAACCTCTGTAGCTCTTAATATAATCTGTAAATCATGACTTGCTAATGGCAACCACATGTGAAATCTCTGAAGGTTCAGGCTTTCCATTTAACAGAGGGTTTGTGATAAACCTCAAGGTACAGTCAACGGTCGATGGTTTTTTCTAGTTCTCAAACTCACCGACAGCGTTGAATGTTCACTGAAGCTATCCAAAGATGGCTGTATACATGCACTGTAGATTTTCCATGCATATGTTTTCCATAGACTGGCAGTGGAAACAGTGCTGAGGACTGCACATTCTTTATTGTAAACCATTAAACTGCAAAGTATTTTAATTACGGAATGAAACCTCGAGGACTAATGAACTGCAGAAGTGTAACACTCTGGTTATGGATGCTGAGTTGACTTAGTATTTCTTAAACCAGCTTGGAATATATCAGAGTTGCAGTGGAAAAAGCCTTTCCTCTTGTGGATATGCATGTTCTTAATAGCAGCACTAAGGATGTTTATAATGATTCAGATTTCTTTAAAAAATTCACTTAGAGAAAACTGGAGGTGGGGGCTTACCCACAGTGCTAAACCAACAGAAGTGAGAGAAGGGGATCTGCTTAGTGGAGTGCATAATGTCTGCATTTCCACAGCTCCAGTCCCCACTCTTCTTTCCCCTAAAAAGAGTAAAAAAGGGGGTTTAATCTCTTTAAATCTCTATATTGCATCTAATTGTCTTCACCTTTTCCACCTGGCTTGCACGGTCCTGGAGAGATGACTTATTTGCAGTTTGTTTGTTAAAAAGTGAATCTGCTGCTGTATATGAAATAACTTTCCTGTGAGTGCAGTGGAGCCTACAGAGTCAGTGGGGATAATTTACTGCTTAAATGCTGGAAACTTGCTTTAAATTCCAAGTATTTCTTCTTGTTGTAGGGATCAAACAGTTTCTCTCTGAATATCCTGAGCTGATACATGTAATTTAACAGAAATGCATTGTCTAATAAAGTACTCGAAGCAATCTTCAAGGAATATAGTTTGCAGCCTGCACTTAAACTGATTGATTTTAATGGTATCATTAAACATCAGCTGATACTGAGAATCAAAAGAATTCTCCAAAAATTAAGTCTCACCTTTTTCTTGCCATCATTTGGAGTAGGAGCTGGTGGAAAGAACAAAGACAATTTGAATTAATCACAAGCAGAGCTCAGCCTGGAGTGTTAAGCCTCAGGAGTGTCTCAGTGTGAAGGGTGACCACATGTGGTAGGTATAACATAAATCAAGGAAACTCAGTTCAAGTCAAGCATGAAATTTTGGTTTTAACAAACCAAAACAGTATGTTTATATTTAAATGACATTGTGAGAGAGGCTTTTTTCTCAATTCACTATTTCTTCCTCCTTTATCCCTCCAATGACCTTCAAGGTAGAAACTTTCATCTTCTTGTTTCACAGTATCAGAGCCTGAATTTCTTCTGCAAGTTCTACTGTACACATTATTTCTATATCTTGGCTGCACACTCCTTCCCCTTTGCAAAGTTCAAAGCTCTTCATGAGATTTTTTGGACAGACTCCAAAATGATAAAATAGTTTTCTGGAAACTGTAAGTGGGCAGTATGTGCAAGGCACACTCCAAAAGTTCTGCACTGAACGTTCAACATACCTTCCTTCCTCTCATACTTCTTTCACTAAGGAAGCACTGAAACTAGAGTTGACAGCTTCCTCCTCTATTTTTATTCCTTAATTATTATTTTTTTGTTGTGAAAAAAAGTATTAAGTGGACCCTCCCCAGGCTGCCAGGGGTCCCTGAAAGCCCAACTCTGTTCTCCTCACAGAACACCTTGTAAACTGGGATTCCTGTAAGGCCATCAGTTGGGAGGCCGTGATTGCTGAACAAGACCTTTTCTATAAAAGTACTGAACATTCGGAGCACGTGGGGTTTTCTTTCAAATTACAGTGGAGAGAATGGGTTTCTGTATGGAGAAAATGGTTTCCTCATAATTTGCATACAAACCCTGAAACACGGCTGTTAACCTGTTTGTAAGGGCTGAGTTAATTTGGTGGATGTCTCTTGTGCTCTTTCTATTTATGGTGCCTGAACAATTCTTACACCCTAATCCAATCATTCTACCAGCTCCTCACAATAAGGCTTTTATTTAGCAGGGCAGGAATCCCAACAGCACTGCCCTAAAGTATCACTAAATAAATTTTGCATATGCAGCTGGTAAAAATAGTAAATAGTAAAATAGGTTCCCTTTTCCTCTTATGCCCTTGTGGTGTAGCTGTGACTCTCAGGAGGGAGGTGTGTGACCCCAGTGAAGGAAAGTGGGGCCAGGACTGTCCTCAGCACATGGCACTGTCTTACTGCTTGCCTGAAGCATCCACTGAAATGCCATGTGCAAGCACATTTGCTTTGTTCTGGAACAAGCTTTAATTGTACTATAAAAATGTATTTTCTTTGTCAAGGTAAATGACTTCAGCAGGGTAAGCATGCAAATACACCTGGGGGAGACAAGAGCATGGAATTGCTAGTGGTAATTTTAGTTTTTGCTGTTTCATTGAAATTTGGGTGAGTGTTTAACTAGCAATGCCATAGCCAAACACTTGAGATTCAGCAGTCTTCTACAGCGAGGAATGGAGATTATTTTTAACTGACCAAAAATTCCTTGGGACTATTACTGGACAAGTCCAGAGGCTACATAAAATTGGGAGACAAAGTAACCAGTCTATTCCATTTCCCCCTTTAGAACATAATGCTGTGATGGTGATCCTAGAGAAAACAGATGCAGACCTGGGACCTGGGAGAAATGCTGTTAACACCAGTTTCTAGTGAATTAGGGAGGACTTACCAAGTTCTTTTGATCTCATTCTAAGTTGACAAGCTTACTTGTAGATGCAACATACCCTAGACTTCTGTAAGGTGTTTGACTTAATACCTAATGACAATTTAAACTGCTATGATACAAATTTGCTGTGGCAAATGTTAAAAGGATTAACAAATGACAAACGGGGAGGTCTAAATGCAATTCCAAGTGGGAACTTGATCCAGTTGGCACAGCCTTAGAATGACTTGGCCACATCCTAAAGCATCTCCATTTCTGGCCTGGGAGAAACATAGCATCCCATATGAGCAGG